GCCTGGGCACTCCTGATATCGGTGCACTTCCTGTGCCTGGGTACTCCTGATATCGGTGCACTTCCTGTGCCTAGGCACTCCTGATAACTGCACTTCCTGTTCCTGGGCACCCCTGTTCTGTATCCTCATGGCTGTATATTTGCAGTGTGATACAAATAAACTTTATTGAATTTATTTGATACAATGTAACATTTTTGTGCTTCATTTCAGGGCGGGGAAGGAGCGGAAAAAGTCGGACCGGCTGGTGCTGGATTGCCAGGAGAAAGCGTATTGGTTGGTTCATCGGCCACCGGTGAGTGCGGGCGATTGGCTGCGGCTGTTATTATTTTTTTTTCATCCAATAATCACGCAGCAGACTTTAACCCCGCCCCTTTTCTTCCAGCCTGGGATGATGGACATGCTGGATTACGGTATGGACAGGGCCACTGACCCCAACGTCGTCAAGGTAAACAGGTGAGACCCTGGAAACCGCGGCAAGTCTGAGGCCTTGTTGGGGCGCCATGAGAAGTAGTCAGTTTTCAGCTAACACGGGGGTGTAAAGTCGTTCTAAACTCGGGGCGTTATCCCGGAAGAGATGTTGGGGGTTATGCTCCCCTGCATCGGAATACAATGAGAAGCCGAGCAGTTCCTTGTTGTCTGCTGTGGAGGTGAAAGGGTTAATGTCGGACGGTTCCGCGTCATTTCTAATTGGAGTCGCACGTCGGTCCTGCGCGGCTGCATTATGCGGTCACGCTCGGTCTGGGTGACGGACGCGCCCAGTGAAGAATCGCCGATAAACGTCCCATCGCGGGAGATTAGCGGGGTCTGGTGGGATCGGTAACCATGGCAACGGCGTGCGTGTGATAAGGCCACGGAGGGAGGTCTCGGGAAGACGAGCGGCGCTGAGTTCCTCTGACTCATCGCCTGTACAGCTGAACCAACGCAGACTAAACGAGGGGAGACCACAAGACCCCCCAAATCTCCATCCATGTCCCCCAGCGTCCTCCATCCATGTCCCCCAGCGTCCTCCATCCATGTCCCCCAGCGTCCTCCATCCATGTCCCCCAGCGTCCTCCATCCATGTCC